TTATAGTGAAACAAGGCTATCAAGAAGTGCCTAACTTCACCTCAAACTCAGTGACAGAATCAATCTGACATTGCAAAGATTCAGGAAATTTTTGAAAATCTGGAAGACAAAAGATCCAATTTGTGAATGCAAAGTGTTCCAGAGGGAAATGAGAGAGAAAGGAGGCTGTCATTTTAGAAATAACTTTTAAAGGAATTCTTTACAATCAAGTATGTATGTGCCTGGTTTTGCAATGAAAAGCCAAGCCTTCAGCTGACAAGTCATCAAGTGCAGCGATAGTAGAGTTTCTGACTCTCCAAAACATGGTGATGGTTTTAAAATTTTCCAGGAAGGGAATGTAAAGTAGATATTGATTTGTAAAATCGCTGCAGTATATTGATACAATCTGACCAATGAGCTGACATTTTGGCTGAAGAATGCCTTTTCTAATAGCAGAAGAAAAACACAAGTCTTCTCACATCAAGTATCATTATTTTATTTCTGGGTTTTTTGGTATTTCATTGGCAGGTATGACCAGACAGTATGTTTCATGTGTTAGATTGATTCATGTGTTAGATTTCCTGCCTTTTATGTCAGGAGATTCTTCAGAATTTTCTCTCTTTGCAAAATTAGTGTATTAATTGCACAACAACCAAAGATGCAGTAATGAAAGAAAGTGAGGGGATTTTTTTGTTACAAGCTTGCTTTGGCTCATTGAGATCACCATGACTCCAACCCTATATTACCTTAAAGGGGAAGTGTGTATAACACAAAAAACTTCAAATTCTGATTATTTTTTTCTATTTTCAAGTCAGGAAGGATAAGAGAATAATACTTCTGCCACCCTTATCTTGCATTTACTGGTATATAATGTCCTTTTGATTTTGAATTTTGGCATTCATGTTTTCTAAACATACTTTTTCACGCAGCCAGGTTTGGTTCTTTTTTTCTGAATTTAGCTGGGACAAAATGCTGGAATTGTCTCCGAAGTCATGAGGTGTGAGAAGCCATTATCTGCTGTAACAATGAGTAAAATTTCAATTGCCACTGGAATTCCTCCACCTCAATGACATTACATTGTGTGGCTGTCAGAAGGCTGAGGCACAGTATTTCTCTCACCAGTGGTTCCTTCTAAACAGCCTCAAAATACACTCTTATTCTCTGTGTAACATAAGTATGAACACCATAAAGAACAAGGCATACGTATTTAATTTCGCCCTATTGGTTGTGACTGTAAAAATAGAAGCTTGATTTGAAAGGAGAACCTTTCAAAACCCTTTCAAGACTAAAGTATTCATACAAATCACTGTGTTAATTATATATCCTAAAAATTATGCAAATAATCTTTTTAGCAGTGAATCAATAATGTTAATTATTTGAAAAATAGCATCTAAGTGTGGTTTTTTTCACAAAAATGTGTCAAAGTATTTAAAATTCTCATGCTGAGTGTACATTTTAATAGTTCTGATTTTTTGTTTTTAATAGTGACAGATGACTACTCCATATACTATTTTGATGTTGAGCAACAGACACAGGAGGCAATCACAGGTGTAAAATTGTTACACTGGGTTCCAGATTCTTGCACAAATTTGTTAAATAATCATTTAGATTCCACTTAGTAATGTTTCAATTAATTTTCCTGAGGCACAACTGAAATAATGTTAATAGAAATGCAAAAACTGTAGCAACTAAGAGAGAGACACATTCAAGTCAAGCTCTTAACCTCTTCTTTAGAGTTGTGGACATAAATTTCTGCCCAATATTCTGTCAGAAAATAGTTCTCATGACCGGAGCATTGGCATGCACCTGGATCGGAGCATTTAGTGAGTAAATTTGATGTACTCATATCCTTTTAGTGTGCCAAAGGCATTCTTATGTCTAATACCTCCTCTGGTGAAGGGTAGCACCACCCAAAAAGCAAGGTAACCACTTCCCTGTGCCTCCTGCAGTTCGTGCTACAGCAGTAGATCCCTGCTTTCAAGCATGTTTAGGCACAAGTAGCACAACGCTGCTACTGTCCAAGCTGGGGCACTCCATAGCCTTACATCTGGACCACTGGTGGAATGCTTTGAGACCCAGAATTTTCCAGTATTTTGTCCTGGGATTTACATAACCTGTGAAGATGATGAGGTAAGCTGCTACCACTGTGTGAGTCTACTAGATAACACTCAAATCACAAACTACTGGATTTTGTACAGTGTATCTGTAGTACTCCAAAGAAGAACAAAGCAAACTAGAAAAGTTTACAAAATTAAACTAAAATCTGAGAGACAATATCCTAATACTCCCAGTTATGGAAATAAGGTTTGAGTTCCGTGGAGTGTATGACAGGATTATTTTATAAATAAGTACATAAAAGCAGACCATGAGGTTTGTAAAGAAATGTAACTGATACTATATGCCCTCTTACACTGAGAATAGCAAACAATAAAGGAATAAAATGTGTGGCTACCATTCATTCATTCATTCATTCACACATTCTTTCCATAATCTGACTCAAATTCCCAGCTATGTTGTGCATTGGATGAAGGGCAGCTGATCAAGTGACTGCAAAATTTTCAGTAACTCAATAAAATTTCCTTTCAGTATAATCATGGCATATACATATTTTCAATTAAATACTTATGTTTACAATTATTGATTGCATATGCAATGCAAGTACACAAGCAAGAAAGTACATAATCAACATTTTGGTTCGAAAATTCCCACAGTTCTCACTTGCTTTAGCTGAGATCTTTGAAAACTCTGAAAATTGGCCTTTAATTTATCAAGCTGGGTGAGAAAGAGGTTCTTTGGTGACAGAACCTCTACAGCAATGTACGATCAACAACTTACAGAAAGCTTCTTCCGGATAATTATCAGAAATAACTTGCACAGCCAAACATTCTTCACCTAATATCAGAGAGATACCATGGGGGAAAGGTATGTTGCACCATAAATTAAATGTTGTGCTTGCTCTTTTTTCTTCTCCTTAGTGGTTCATTTCTGGTGGGCAACTGAAGAAATCTTTATACATATGAGGACACAAGATCACTGCCACAGCACTTTGAGAATTCTTTTTTAGTGAGTAGATTGTATTCAGTTCAGTCCCCTGAGCTATTGCATTAGATAATATTGCTCTTTCCCAGGACAAAACAATTTTCTACCTTCTTGAAAGAATGCTTATATTACACCAAACTGTCTAACATATCTACTCCACAGTCTTTAGTTTATCAGAAAGTTTATGAGATTTTACTCAGGAAGGAGACTCCAAATTTTACTCTTATTCATCCATGATTAAAACGGGCAATGTGGAAGAGTCTGTAGGTTGGGTTTTACACCTGAAGGTGCAGGAGAGTTGGTAACCTGGAAGAATCCTTCACACTAAGGACTCAGAAACACTGATAAATGCCAGAGACGAAATCCTAACCCCTCAGCAATGACTGACACAGATGTTATTTTTGCAGATAACAGTCTTATGGTACACGAAGCATTAGTCATATCTTTTAAATAATTCAGCAGAATATTAATATACTCCAACTGCCTTGTACTTAAGAGTGACAGGTGTTTTAAATTAACCCCTCAAAAAACACCCAGACTATGCAAGACATGAATTTACTTCAGGACTACCAGCTTTAAGAGCCTGATCCTCCACACTTTTTGTCTCCAATAAAAGGGTTGATAGACATTTTATACTCAGACAATACAAAAGAGGTTTTTTTGTCTTTCTGTTATGCACTGATGCCAGTCTTTTAGAAGGAAAAGAACAAGAGTAAATTTCTGTTCCAATCCACTGGTGTTAGTATGGAGTGGAAAACTGGATATATTACTCAGAGTGGTTTAAAAAGACCATTAGGATTTAGTCTGCCAGAAGTGTTTGCCTGTTGCTCTCAGGGAACTACCATGACAAATGAAAAGTTGGGGGGTTTTTAACTAAAACCAAAATTTACTGGTGGGGAGAATGGGGGTAAGAAGGACTCATTTGACAAATGCATTGAAGGAAGTGGGATGGCATTATTTACAGAGCAGGTTTGTCAGTTCAGGTAACATAGGGGAACTGGGACCATAACTGTGGTTGTGGCATGAACCACTCACTACTTGCAGTCTTCTGCCTCTGCATAACCTTCCCAGGGCTGTGGAACACCCACATTTCTGTCAGGCACCTCTTTGCTGTATATGGGTCACAAACATGATTTTGAACATTAGCTCAAGTTTGGGGATGTGATAAGCGTATGTTCTGGTTGATTGTGCAAAATGCATGTTCTGGTGGATTGTGCTTTCAGTCCTGAGTTTGTGTATCTGATGTTGTGTGGCCTTTGTTATTTCTGCAGCTGAAGCAAAGGTTTGCCCCATTCAGCTGTCGTGCTCTGGTTCTTATTTGTAGAACAGATAACAACTTTTTGTTGTTACTCTGAAAATGTGGAAAATAGCAGTATTGTTATATCTGCCTTCTTCAGAGATAGACTATAAGACTAGCTGCTTTCCCTCTCTTAAGGAAAAAAATGCACAAAACCACAATACAAGAAAACCAAAATCCCTTTATCAATTGTCTGCACCTCTGTAACAATAAACATGTTTTTTCCTTGTTCATCATAAGGCAACATTGTTAGGTGAAGCAGAATCCAAATATTCTGCTACATTTTCTTCACAAAACCTTTCTCCTGACATGAATTTGCACAAAACCCTGAACTTTCCAGTTAGCTGAGGAAAGCAGAAGAGGCAGGGATGACCAGAGAAAAACATCTTTAAGGTACAAGGCACATAAAATAGGATTTTATAGTCAAACAGCCACTTCACAGACTGCCTATGAATTTTAAAAACCACAAGTATAGATATAATTACTTCTAAGACCTACAAAATGACCTCAAGCACAAGCCCTTATACTGGAGACCAGATCCTCCAGAAAATATTTGTGTCCTGGTCTGGATTGTTTGGCGGTTGCACAAGAGCTCGACGTGCTGCCCTGCTGGCCCTGGCTGCACGGCCCCTTCACCCCACAGGGAGCACCTGCCAACAGCTCCTTGGCAGCTGCGCTTTGTGCCAGCTGTACCAGCGCTGCACGCTTTCCTCAGGCCCTGGGAATGCATCCGGGAGCTTCCAAAAGTCCCCAATGCCCTTGCCTTGCCTTCTGATCTCTGGGGACGCAGCTGAGGATCTTCTGCTTTTTGCCTCTGGGGTAATACTTTTATTTTCATTTAAACTGGGAATTTGGAAGAGAAATGGTGTAGCTGTCCTTTAAGGATCATTGTAGTCCTCTACATTTGGTCTATTTGTGTTCTGGTCTTTCAGGGTGACTGGAGATGAGAAAGAAAGACCTAGCAATTCTTTTCAGAAAATGCTTTGCAGAGAAATATTCTTTTTGGTTTGCCTTAGGAAGTTGACTATGGACGTGTGTTGGAACTTGGACAGGAATCTAAATGGATTGACAATGACAAATGGTGGTGTATTATTGAAGGAAAATTAATATATATGTGCTCTGATGAGTTGTAAAGACATCAATGCTCAAAATTATATTCCCTTTTAAAAGATCTTTTAACTTTTAGACATACTTTTTTCAGTGCAGTCACAGCTGTCAGCACTGACAAGGTTGAATTTACTAATTCATGTCTTCTACTCTGTAAAGAAGCTAAATTGCCTAATGAAAAAGCTCCCAGATTAGATTTTCTTTTTAACTACTGAGGATGATAATAATAATAATAATAATAGTAATAATAATAATAAAGTGGGTTCTTCATCTGCAATTCCAGCTTTGATCTCTCCAAGACTGTGACTAGAATGTAGGAGAAAGAAAGAGGAAGCATAAAGAAAAATTATGGCCATTGTAGAAACAAACTTTTTTTATAAATCTGGTTTCTTTAATGTAATTTCTTTCTTAAAGATGGTAATTGCTGAAATACTTTGTGTGCTTTATACTTTTCTCCTTTGTTCTCTATCTGTCTCCCTGTATATTTGTGACAAATAACAGATTCAATTTCTTCTTCAGCATTTTGTGTTATGTGTTTCTGTACTGCCAGATGGGTGACTGTGGCACATAGAGAGTTAATTCATCTGCAGGATTTTTATTTCATTAGAAAATTATTTATCTACTTCCAGGAGTTGATATCTATTGTGTCTGTGGAAAGGCATAATTCAAGGAGGTCCTGATGTCCCTGGGCAAACAGGGACCTGGCAACAGCAGAAAAACCTGAAGTTCAAAAAAAATCCCAAACAAACACAAAACACAGGAGACACAAACTCTCACCAAAACCCCTCTTAGACCTGCAGCTGTATTGCACACAGAGATATCCAGGACAAAAAGTGCCTGAATATGGTTTTTAATCCACTGTGCCAAATACTGAGTGTCAGCTCTCAGAAAAGTATGAAAGTGCCAAAATCCAGATGGACCTCCTGACACTTTGGCTTGGTTTATTTACAAGGTAAATACTTTGGCAATGTGACTAGGGGAGGTCCATTCTAGCCTGAGTGTCTAACAGCGTGTGGTACATAATGTGCCATATCAAGCAGAAGAGTAAACTATTAAATGGAAAGGAAGATGAGATTTCCCCTTGGTTGGGAAGGTCAGCCCGAGCAGACAGTTTAAAGCTGAATTTATAAAAACCACAGTATTCCCAAAAAGGGTTCACATTACTGGAGATACTTGATACTTAGTTTTACTCCATTTTTTTTTTCTCAAGTGCTTGGTATGAAGACATTTATTTGTCTCTGTCTTTTCACATCAGACTTTTGTTTAATATTTTCTTTCTCTCCATCTGTTTTGGGCAACGTGCTTTACGGTGGTCATATCTGGAAAAAAACAAACCACTAAATGCAGATTTCTATTGAAACTTTTCATAAGTCTAAGATGTGAGGAAAATTTAGAATGTATGACTGGAAATTTGGAGCTGGGTTTGAAATCTGAAGTTTAGGAGCAATTTTGCTCTTTGTCTAGGTATTTCTGTGTGATATATTTCTGAGTCTTGTTCTTTCAACATAAAAACTTGGTTTCAAATAATTTTTTTTAAAAGTCAGTGAATTTTTTCAGAAAATTCCAGTTCTCAAGGAAAGTCATGGGAACTGAAGTCACCTTGCTTTGCAAGGACATTTTTGACCCAACGCCAAAAACTTTGGTGTATTTGAACAGTTCTCAATCAGTACTTGACAGTGGTAATTCATGTTGTGTCAGAGCCAGTCCCAATCTCTAATAATCATTTGGCAACTTTTTATATTCTGTCCATGGTCAAGCTTGGATACAGAAAGAAGAAAAGAAGAAAAAGACTATTATAGCCTACTTGTTGTAATTATTTCTTAAAAAGGGTCAGCTCCAGATATTTCTTTTTCAGTGTCATAGAACTTGTCTGTGAAACAGCTTCTGAGTGATTTTCTAGATGTGAAAGTAAAGCCACACTTTTACATGAGCAATACTCATTAAGAATAACTAGAATAGAGTAATCAAAAGAAAAGGAAAAGCATGTTACACTGAGCTGCTAAAGGTCATCCAAATGCAGTCTACCTTGAAAGGCTGCAATAAGTGCCCTCCCTGAACCTAGCTTATAGTAATATAAGTTATATAAGTAACATAGTAATATAATATAATTTTTATTATATAGTAATATAATATAATTTTTATAGTTAAAGCAGAGAACACTGAAAACACCCAACTCTCCTAAGCTAGAGGGTTGCTTTAGTCCTGCCATAGACTGCCTACTTGGGCAGCTTGCAAGAAGACTAAGTAAGATGTTCTTGTTTCCTGGAAGTAGTTTTGTAATCAGTTGGCCTTCTTGGATGTTAGAAAATGCTCATTATTTACACACCTTGACTGAAGCTACTTTAACAGTTTTGCAGTACAGCAACTAATGTCATCCATAGTAAAGCAGAATAGTCAGTGTCATAGACATTTTCTTTTGTACCTGCTGTGTTTCTATCATGTAGCTTTGGAAGTGTTCTTTAATGAGTTCAGAGTGCCAAGGTGATGTGACCCCAGTGTGGTTGTCAGCTGTCCCCGGGCAGAGGCTGATTTGCATTCAGACCAGGCAGCCTACAGGGACAGAGCTCCTTATCTGTCTGTCAGTAGTTCACATTAAATACAGGACAGATCTACTATTGAGTTCAACTCACTGTCTCCTACATATTAAATAAAAACTTGTTCAAAGGTACTATGTATGAAATTCTCTGAAAAATGGTGCAAATTGATTTATGAGACAAACATATATGTGCCAATAATTAACCTAGATCAGATGTGATACCAAGGTCTTGCTTTGTTTGGTATTTTGTGTGTGCTTCAGAATATCCAGAATGTGCCAATATTTTTGCCATGTTGATTCAAAAAATCTTGCAACCATTAATTAGGAAATATCAATCACACATGGAAAAAAATTACTTGAGACTTGTCTAATGGTCCATAGAAAGTCACAGCTACATCTTTGACTGATCAAGACTTCAAAGACATCAGAATGTGTGTTCCTATTCACACACGGTATTACTAGTGGAGCTGAATGAAAGTCTAATTTAGAAGTAACAGTATTCTTAAACAAAAATAAAGCATAAAAAGTAAAAATCTGTTTCAAGCGAAACAAGTTTCATATGCACATCAAAGCTCAGTTGGCAGACATCACTCTAATCCTATATTTGCTTCTGCATATGTCTTTGTTAGTCACTAGATTCAGTACCATTCATCCTCTCCTTGGCATTATACTTTCATCCTATATTTAGTTCTTATCAGTTGATTGCTGGGTGTTTCTGATAACAACATACTCCCATGTGATCTGGGGATATCACTGGGTGTATCTGAATTAAAGTTAAGTTTCCTTTCCTTGACCCAGCTGAGCATGCACTTGGATAAAAAACTCTTTTCTTCTCTCAGTAAAACTGAACTCTGAGAATTCATCAGTAACGTGCTAGCAGACAACTCAAATATTGTCCTGCATTTTCTTGTTGATTGACTGTTCAACCCACCAATACTTTCTTATATCAGTATCAAAGTCTCTCCTCTCTTTACCTCATAATTCCATGTGAGCAATTGTCCTAATTCCCTTTTTAATAATAACATCAAGACAACACAAAAATTATCTCAGAACATATTTTTATATTCCTGCTTTGATTATATGAACAACCAAACTTTTCACTAAGAAGCAGGAGTTTTCATTAGAATCTGACAAATAGTAAACCTCACATTTTCCTAAAAAGTTGCTCAAATAATTGCTTTACTTTGTTCCATCAGTTAGAGCTTTAAGTGAAATATGCATTATCTGAGATCAAGGCATGTGGTTACATGCAGACTTTAGTAGCAGCATATCGTACATCCTTCATCCCTCTTTCTAGTATTGTTACTTTTTTCCCTGTCCAGGCAACTACAGAGAAAAGAGAACTGTCTTTTTATATTTCTAACACAGACTTGTGTATCTGAGGAATCTGGTGTGAGGATGTAGCTGTTTCTACATGTCCCTCCATCCCTTCTCACCACTGAATGTTGGAACTGATCCCAGGACAGTTCATTTACCAGGTAACCCCTGTGAGTAGGAGCAGAATATCTCTTGCTAACTTGAGGCAAGAAGACTTTCTCATTGTGCCCAAGGCATAATCAGAAGAAATTATGGGAAACTTGTGTGTGTCCAGGTTTAGATATCACTTGCAAGAACTAAAGTAGTTTTAGATTTTTCAGTTTCCATGTTGTTTGAGGAGCAAGGAGAGAAAAAGGACATCTTACAAAGAATATTTCTGGTCAGGTTAGGCAGAAAATGTTCCCACTAAAATGAAATTTTCATATAAACTAGGTCAGGAAAATATGTTTACTTTGTTGCATGAAGATTCGTATAAATTTTGCAGTTTCTGCATACTGTGAGTTTCACAGATTAGTTTAAAAGAAACTCCTAAACTGAATCAGGAGCTAAACTTTTGACTTTGAAACAACTCCTAACTTGCCCTAAAAAAATTTTCAGATTTGCTGTTGCTTAGACTTCTAAAGAATAAATGTGACATTCTTTATCATTTCCATTTGGCAGTGTTTGGTTTTCAGATTGAACATATATGCACATATACATAACTTGTTTTATTTTAGTTCTGTGCATTTTCACGAAAGCTGTGATTATCTCTAGTAAGTATGACACCCAGATCCCTTGACTTTTTCCTCCTTAAAGGGAATCAACTGTGTAACTTCCAATACATTTGCCTAAAGACACATATATGTAAGATATTGGTGCATATGTCATTTTTAGCCTGCTTCCCAGAATGAATATTTTGTGCATACAAGGGATGCAAAGGGTACCAACCACTTCTCTTTCTGGCCATTGGGCGGATGTTGTGGAAAATTTCTTTCAAATTGGATTCTCTCACTTCTTCTGCTCTTATATTTTGATTTCAGAATAACAGCACATCTTTGAGAGTGAGCATAAATAGTAACAAAGGAGTAAAGCACGGAGGAAGAATGGCAGCTGGTAGGGGCTGAAATGTAAAGTGGTGCGGGACAGGCGACCATGCACATTTAGTTATGCAAACACCTATGTCTGTGTATTGTTCACAATCTCAGGATCTTGCTACATAAAACAACAAAAGATTCAGACATTATTTTTTTCACTTTTTGTCTCTTTCCCCACATTCCCAAACTAAGACTTCTATTTTATTGAATTTGAATAGGAATACAAGTGAAAAAAATCCTGACTTCTCAGGATTGATTAGCTCTATGCTTCAGGTATTCAGATAATCTATCTCACATCTCAAGCAAGCAGTAAAGCTGTCAAAACATAGGTGACCCCAAATATTTAACTGTTCATATAAAATGGAACTGCTTCAGCAGAAGAGATATAATTAAGAAGAACAAGGGATTTGCCTTAGTATCATCCTTTACTAAGCTCTGACCTTTTGTGGGCAGCTGTTTTGTTGATATGTGAATGTGACTCCTCAGACCATTCTGGTACTCATGAAAGAGTATTTTTAAAGAAATATGGTTTTACACAAAATCTCTTATTCAGCCTTGGTAAGGAGGATCTGCTGAAGAACAGGCTAAAGGAGCAAACAGAGGGTTTGAGGGATGATCAGAAAAACACTGAATATTTAGCTCAAGTAATCAAAACTTGTCAGTGCAAAACATTAAGCTAGTAGAGCTAAAGAAGAAAGGGGCTCAAGCACTGATTGCAAGCTTTGGCTAGATAAAGCTACCATTTTCAGACAGGTGGGAGGTAGGAAGCGTGTTAAGAGTAGAAGGAAGAAAAAAAACCCTGGTGGTGATTTTGCTGTTCAACGGACCTTTGCTTCTGCATCTTGTGCATTGGATAAATAAATTCCTTTCCCCACACTTTGCCACAGAGCCAGGTGCTTGTATCTCCTGGGGGGAAGATGAGAAGTGTAAATGCCAACGCATGTAGCAGAGACAAGGTGACTATAGGTTCACTAGCAAAAGCTGTTTAAGATGGTTTCTGGTTTCATGTGTCGATGACATTTACGTAAAGGTGTGCTGACTTGAGGGCACTTTTCTGCTAATTTCATTTTCAAGCAATTAACCACATACATAATTCCACAGCTGCGGAATTGCAAGCAGGGCAAGGAAAAGATTGCTCAGGTTTTAAAATAATTAATCTTATTTGAATTGTTAATATTTTACTTTCTCTAAATATTTTTAAGAATCTACTTGTTTACAGTTTTATAAAATCTTTTTAAAAAATCACAGAATTTTTGAGCTACTTAAATATTTCCGTGAATCAGACACAGAAAAACAAATCCGGTCTACTTAATATTTTTGCATATTGCCTTCATGTATCTAGACTATATAAAATATTATTATTAAAATTTTTAGCAGTGTTTTGTAATACTTAGATGAACTTCAGAGGCATATGTGATAATTGCAGCAAATCAGAAAAGAGAAAAAAAAATCCAAGCCAATTTTATTGGTTCAAATTGGTGTCTTATTTGGTTCTGAACTGCAACTAAAAGTTGAAGTGGAGAAAATCACCTAAATTTACCCTCCCCCTTAGCCAGTGGTGAGCTTCACAGGACCCTCCCCAAGCCATATAAGGCCAGGAAGAATGTGCTAAGCACTGAGTGTGCTAAGAATAAAGTTGTTCTGGGATGGATAAGGTTACTTTGAACTCTATATTTCATGTTTCCTGACATACCCCCCAAAGAACTGCAATTATGCTAGCAAGGCTGTAGGAGCATTGAACAGTTCTTTCCCAGTTCTTTTGATTTTTGTTGCCTCTCCATGAATTCCTGTCTTGTTTAAAGCTGTGGTTTTTTACATTTTATTTCTGGTGTGCACGGTTCTGAGGATATTAGACAAATGAGCTGAAGGTTCACTCTGAGGCATGACTATTTTTGTTAGAAGCTGATACTTTAGACTGAGCTTTAAGTGTTGCCTCTGGAAGGCCTTGGGTTGTTCTGGAAGGCCAGGTCTACAGAGGAAACAGACATTTCAGGGAGCATAAAAGAAGAAGGAACACAATTAGAAAAAGCAGAAGACCTCCCTCCTTCTCATTCTGCAAGTCCTGTGAGAGTAAGCAACCCAGAAGCACTATCTAAGCTGCCACAGTAAATCTTGACCCTTTAAACAGAGTATCTCTTACCATCATCATGGCTGAGATAACAGCAGAAGGTACAGTAACTCTTTTCAAATATAATTAACTAAAAATGATATGTGCTTTAATAGTATAAGTGAACTGGCATGTCAAAATGATATGTTGTTCTTAGCAAATAATGTTTTCACTCCAGGATAATTTAATTTTGTTTTCTGCATTCATTTCTATTTTTCTTTCCTGTTTTTTCTTCTCTCTTTTACTTTTTCACTCTTGTAGCCTGAGTTTTTACTAGTTACTGAAGCAAGTTCTCTGTACACCTCTAAAAATAACCTTAGTTTCATTTGCAGAACACCATTATTTAGGCAGCCCCATTAGAGTGATACAAACAGGGAATGTAGGGTTCTATTCTCAAGCCTTTGCTCAGAAAAAAACCTTTGGTAGTACCTTATAATCAGAGATTTACCAGAGTCAGAATAGCTTGTTTGCCCTGATTTTTCCATAGGGAGCACAGAGTATTTTTGAACTGTAGATGAAGTTACTGAAGGGTAAAAGGTAAAAATCCCTCTTCTATCCTTGTTTAGGTTTAGGTAGACTTCTAAGGGAGTTAGTGAAAATTGTGCTGAAATAAATATGCCAGATGTCAGCCTGCAAAAAGGAAAGGCAATTGTATTAACCAATAAATACATATTCTAAAATGCGAATGTTTCATGTACTTTAATGTTTCCTGACCATTCATATTTAAATAACATTTTAGATGCTTAACAATATTTTATCAGCTGAAGTCAGAAGAGGGGATATATTTAAAATGCAACCCTCTTTAATATTGAATATTTTAGTTGAATTTCACTCCAACTTTTTTTCCACTGTTTATCTGAATTTAATAACGACAAAAAGTAAAAATGACAAAAATACAAAAAAGTGCTTTTAAACAGTCTTCTGAGAGTTACTTTTTTCTTTCAGTGCATGAAAGATGTAGTTTTCATCTTCCATTTTTTATTGTTCATACTTGTAAAAGGACCTGCATTAAGTGCTATTAGAAAGTGATCCTGTTCATTCTTAAGGGCTGATGTTAGGACCATGTCAAGTAGTGCAATCCTGCTTGATGTCTGGTTAACCACATCAGGGAGGCAATGTGATTTTTTAATCAGCAGTTGGACTGATCTATAATTTACTTCTGGCAGCAAATACTGCCAAAACTGGTAGCTCAGCCTGACATCCCTAACCCAAATACTAACACTGGTGTATTTAGATATTCCTAACAATGTTTGTTGGAAACATTGGTTATTTTCTAGCTGTTATGAGGCAAATTGGCAAAATAGCCAAATTAGCGAGATTTTTGGTCCAAAATTAATGGCAAAACATATAAGCCTTTACAGCCAGTCTGAGTCTTCAGTCATTTAGCTTATTAAAGACAGAAAATTAAAGACTCTAGAATGAAACAAAAGACCATTGAATGAAAGAAAATAGAGCCTGATTTTTTTTTTTTATTTTGTTGGTATAGTGTTTTTACAGGAGTGTTTTTACAATGTATGCCTTCTGTGGGGCTTTTTGTACAAAGCATAGACTTAGATGATAAGGGGCATCAGCTCCCCAGTAAGCTGACCTTCCACATGACAGGGAAATAAACTGTATAATTAGTTAGTTTAGTTATGTTTGGCTTCGTTTTTGGTTTGTTTTTTTTTTTTTAGGGTTTTTTTTTTTTTTCATGTACTTGGAATGCACTTGTGGTGATTGACTGATTTTTAAACACTGTATCCACAAGATGGAAATTTTATTTATGGCAAAAAGTAACAATTCAGCCTGGAGCTAATGTTTCACTGCAGTCTGTTTTCCTCTGGGGCTAGTACCGGCTCTCACAGCCTGAAAGTTTAGATATAAACTTCAGCAACATATAGTTTGGATAAACAAAAAGCTATTCAACTACCTGTTAATTCACACAATTTATTTTGTTTTCCATACCACCTCCCAGCCCATGATTTGCTGGGCTCTCCAAGAC